TCTCTGACTTGGTGTTTGTATCCTCGCGCTGAAATGGTCAGTCTAGGTCCCCAGATGGATTAAGAACGAAGATTCCTTCTATACAAAAGGAGACAACGCAGGAAGTTCCATGTGTGCATGGAGTGCCAAGGGTGGTTCACCCATTGCACAGGGCAGTTGGACGCTAAGGGCATTTTTTCCTGGCTGGAACTTCATTGGTTTGGTGTCTGAAGCCTCGAGCTTAAATGGCTTGTCTTGGTCCCCAGTTGGACTAAGAAAGAAGATGCCACCCAGATAAAAGGTGCCAGCGCAGGAAGCTCCATGTGTGCATGGAGTGCCAAGGGTGCCTCACCAACTGCACAGGTGATTTGGAGGCTAAGGACTTTTTTTTCCTGGATGGAACTTCATTGGTTTGGTGTCCAAAGCCCCGACCTTAAATGGCCAGTCTGGGTCCCCAGATGGATTAAGAACAAAGATTCCTCCCACACAAAAGTTGCCAGCACAGAAAGCTTCATGTGTACACGGAGTGTCAAGAGTGGCTCAGCAATTCCACAGTAGAGTTGGAGGCTAAGGTCTTTTTTTCCTGGTTGGAACTTCATTGGTTTGGTGTCTGAAGCCCCGAGTTTAAATGGCCTGTCTGGGTTCCCAGATGGACTAAGAACAAAGATTCCTCCAAGACAAGAGGTGCCAGCGTAGGAAGCTCCATGTGTTCATGGAGTGCCACAAGTGGCTCACCCATTTCACAGCAGAGTTGGAGGCTAAAGGCTTTTTTTCCTGGATGGAACTTCATTGGTTTGGTGTCCCAAACCCCAGGCAAAAAAGGCTTGTCTTGGTCCCCAGTTGGACTAAGAACTAAGATTCCACCCATAAAAAAGGTGCCAGCGCAGGAAGTTCCATGTGTTCATGGAGTGCCAAGGGTGGTTCACCCATTGCACAGGGCAGTTGGACGCTAAGGGCTTTTTTTCCTGACTGGAAATTCGTCGGTTTGAGGTTTCAAGTCACGCGCTGAAATGACGCGTCTGGGTCCCCAGATGGACTAAGAAGAAAGATTCATCCTAGAAAAAAGCCGCAAGTGCAGAAAGCTCCGTGAGTGTATAGAGTGCCAAGGGTGGCTCATCAAATGCACAGGAGAGTTCGAGGCTAAGGGCTTTCTTTCCTACCTGGAAATTCATTGGTTTGGTGTCCGAAGCCCAACACTGAAATGGCCCATCTGGGTCCCCAGATGGACTAAGAACGAAGATTCCTCCCCCACAAAAGTTGCCAGGGCAGAAAGCTTCATGTGTACATGGGTGCCAAGAGTGGCTCAGCAATTCCACAGTAGAGTTGGAGGCTAAGGCCTTTTTTTCCTGGTTGGAACTTCATTGGTTTAGTGTCCCAAGCCGCGAGTTTAAATGGCCTGTCTGTGTTCCCAGATGGATTAAGAACAAAGATTCCACCCAGACAAGAGGTGCCAGGGTAGGAAGCTCCATGTGTGCATGGAGTGCCACAAGTGGCTCACCCATTTCACAGCAGAGTTGGAGGCTAAAGGCTTTCTTTCCTGGCTGGAACTTCATTGGTTTGGTGTCTGAAGCCCCACGCTGTAATGGCCCGTCTGGGTCCCCAGATGGACTAAGAACCAAGATTCCACCCAGACAAAGGTGCCAGCGCAGGAAGTTCCATGTGTGCATGGAGTGCCAAGGGTGCCTCACCAACTGCACAGGAGACTTGGAGGCTAAGGCCTTTTTTTCCTTGATGGAACTTAATTTGTTTGGTGTCCAAAGCCCCGCGCTGAAAAGGCCCGTCTGGGCCCCACATGGGTTGAGAACAAAGATTCCTCCTAGACAAAAGGTGCCAGTGCTGGAAGCTCCATGTGTGCATGGAGTGTCAAGGGTTGCTCACCCATTGCATAGGAGACTTGGAGGTTAAGGGGTTTTTTTCATGGCTGGAACTTCTCTGACTTGGTGTTTGTAGCCCCACACTGAAATGGCCAGTCTGGGTCCTCAGATGGACTAATAAAGAAGATTCATTCCAGACAAAGGGGACCAGCGCAGGAAGCTCCTTGTGTGCATGGAGTGCCAAGGGTGGCTAACCAACTTCACAGGAGAGTTAGAGGCTAAGGCCTTTTTTTTCCTGCCTGGAACTTCATTGGTTTGGTGTCAGAATCCCCATGCTGAAATGGCCCGTCTGGGTCTTCAGATGGACTAAGAACCAATGTTCCTCCCACACAAAGGTGGCAGCTCAGGAAGCTCCTTGCATGCATGGAGTGGTAAGGGTGACTCACCCATTGCACAGCAGCGTTTGAGGCTAAGGGCTTTTTATCCTGCCTGGAATTTCATTGGTTTGGTGTCCAAAGCCCCACGATGAATTGGCCCATCTGGTTTCTTTGATGGACTGAAAAAACAAAGATTCCTCCCACAGAAAAAGTGCCACTGCAGAAAGTTTTATGTGTGCACGGAGTGCCAAGGGTGGCTCACCAACTACACAGGAGAGTTGGAGGCTAAGACGTTTCTTTCCTGGATGGAACTTAATTCGTGTGATTTCCCAAGTCCTGCCCTGAAATGGCCCGTCTGGTCCCCAGATGGACTAAGAAAGAAGATTCCACCCAGACAAAAATACTAGTGGAGGAAGCTCCACGTGTGCATGGAGTGCCAAGGGTGCCTCACCAACTGCACAGGACAGTTGGAGGCTAAGGGCTTTTTTTCCTGGCTGGAATTTCATTGGTTTGATGTTTGTAGTCACGTGCTGAAATGACACGTCTGGGTCCCCAGATGGACTAAGAATGAAGATTCATCCTAGAAAAAAGTCGCAAGTGCAGAAAGCTCCATAAGTGCATAGAGTGACAGGACTGGCTCATCAAATGCACAGGAGAGTTGGAGGCTAAGGGCTTTCTTTCCTACCTGAAAATTCATTGGTTTGGGGTCCGAAGCCCAACGCTGAAATGGCCCATCTGGGTCCCCAGATGGACTAAGAACGAAGATTCCTCCCACACAAAAGGTGCCACCTCAGAAAACTCTGTGTGTGCATGGAGTGCCAAGAGTGGCTCACCCATTGTGTAGTAGAGATAGAGGCTAAGGGCTTTTTTTTCCTGGTTGGAACTTCATTGGTTTGGTGTCCAAAGCCCCATGCTGAAATAGCCCGTCTGGGCCCCACATGGGCTAAGAACGAAAATTCCTCCCAGACAAAAATTGGCAGCGCAGGAAGCTCCATGTGTGCATGGAGTGTCAAGGGTTGCTCACCCATTGCATAGGAGACTTGGAGGTTAAGGGGTTTTTTTCAGGTTGGAACTTCTCTGACTTGGTGTTTGTAGCCCCGCGCTGAAATGGCCAGTCTAGGTCCCCAGATGGATTAAGAAAGAAGATTCATCCCAGACAAAAGGGGCCAGCGCAGGAAGCTCCATGTGTGCATGGAGTGCCAAGGGTGGCTCACCTATTGCACAGATCAGTTGGACGTTAAAGGTCTTTTTTTCCTGGTTGGAACTTTATTGGTTTGGTGTCTGAAGTCGCACGCTGAAGTGACCCGTCTGAGTCCCAAGATGGACTAAGAACGAAGATTTTCCCAGTCAAAAGGTACCACCGCAGGAAACTACATATGTGCATGGAATGCCAGGGTTAACTCGGAACAACAGTTATTTTATGTCGGATGCCCAACGCTAAAATGGCCCGTCTGGTTCCGCGCATGGTCTAAGAACCAAGATTCCTCCCAGACAAAAGTTGCCAGCGCACAAAGCTCCATGTATGTATAAAGAGCCAAGGGTGACTCACCGATTGCACAGCAGAGTTGGAGACTAAAGGCTTTTTTCCCTGGTTGGAACTTCATTGGTTTGGTGTCCGAAGCCTCACACTGAAATTGTCCGTCTTTGTCACCAGAAGGATTAAGAATAAACATTCTTCCTAGACAAATGGTGCCAGCACAGGAAACTCCATGTGTACATGGAGTGCCAAGGATGACTCACTGATTGCACAGCGCAGTTGGAGGCCAAGAGCTTTTTTTCATGCCTGGAACTTCATTGCTTTGGTGTCTGAAGCCACGCGCTGAAATGGCCCGTCTGGGTCTGCTGATGGTCTAAGAATGAAGGTTCCTCCCAGACAAAAGATGCCAGTGCACGAAGCTCCATGTGTGCATGGAGTATAAAGGGTGGCTCACCCATTGCACAGCAGAGTTGGAAGCAAAGGGCTTTTTTTCCTGGCTGGAACTTCATCGGTTTGGTGTCCGAAGTACCGCGCTGAAATGGCCCGTCTGGGTCCGGTGATGGTATAAGAACCAAGATTCGTCCCAGAAAAAATGTACCAGCACAGGAAGCTCCATGTGTCCATGGAGGTGCCAAGTGTGGCTTACCATTAGCCCAGCAGAGTTGGAGGCCAAAGGTTTTTTTTTCCAGTGGAACTTCATTGGTTTGTTGTTTGAAGCCCGTCACTGAAACGGACCGCCTGGTTCCCCAGAATGTTTAAGAACGCAGATTCCCTTCAGACAAAAGGGAACAGCACAGGTAGCCCCATGTATGCATAGAGAGCCAAGGGTGGCTCACCCATTGCACAGCAGAGTTGGATACTAAAGGCTTTTTTTCCTGACCGGATCTTCATTGGTGTCGTGCCAGCGCACAAAGCTCCATGTATGCATAGAGAGCCAAGGATGACTCACCCATTGCTCAGTAGAGTTTGAAGGTAAGGGTTTTGTTGGGGAGCCCAGCTGGTTCTGGGCTCTCAGTAAACTGAGACATTGAAGATGGAACTTTTTACACCTGGCAGAGGGTTAACCACGGACAGTAGGACTGTGACACTTTTTACACCTGGCAGAGGGTTAACCACGGACAGTAGGACTGTGACACAGTGGGTTTCCTGTGAGGAATGTCAGCCTATTGTGTTAGGACATGTGGCTGTATGTCCAATCATGAGTTGTTATGACAGTGGTAAACCAATGCTGTGTGTACATGTGTCACCCCAGAACTGTATAAAGGTAGCTGTACTGTTGCAATAAAAAAGCTGCTGGTATCCTGAAACCCGTCACCTCCCCGCCTCGACCGCGACATATGGTGAACCCCCGACGTGATTGCGAAGGAAGATAGAAGAGAACTCGACGACAAGAAGCGAACGAAGAATCGCTCGGGCGGGATCTCGAGAAGCTGTTACCCGGAGGGATCGGACGGCCGCTGACCCCCCCGTTCCGCTTTCACCGCTTCTCAGCCCGAGAGATCGCATGCCGCTGAGCTGCCTTTTGCTGCTGCTGAGAACTTTCTCGCTGCTACTGAGACTTTTTCACGGCTACGTAAGTTACTGAGCGGTCCGTTATCAACCCTCCTGCCGCGCTGCCCCGTTCTACCTCGGAGCATTCGTAATCTCGCTCCGCTCCCAGCCTTCCCGCAGGGCTGCCCCGCTCTCCCCCCCGGAGCGCTCGTTATCTCGCTCCGCGTTCCAGCTGCAGCCCTACGGACACTGCGTGGCTGCGTGCGCAACCTGCGTAGCCCTCGCTCCTGACATCCCAGCTCCGTGCAGGGCCTCAGCCCGCTCCGTGCCCGGTTCGCGTCCCTCTGCTATCCCCAAACGTGCCCTGACTGTGCGTGGAGCAGCTGAGACCGCACCCCAAACATGCCCTGACTCAGCAGTGCTCTTTGTTCCGAGCGACCCTGCCTTCGTTACTCTCGCAGCTGTGGGGCAGACAAATTCCTGTTTGTCGCACTCCCCCCCACTTGGCTCGGACTCTTGCGAAATCTCGGTATCCCGGCAACTGCCTTTTATCAGCAGTCGGCTGCTAAAGCAACATTCCAGCTACTGTTCGTCTTCGCTGTATTATTACTCTGCTTGTAACTTACATTAGTACCTCTTGAAGCAATCTAAAAGGTTTTCACGTCCTGAACAAGGACGGAGAGAGACAGCTCCGAGAGAGCTGTTGGAGGCGGGAACTCCGGTGTAGTTTTAAAAGCGACAAAAAAGTCGCAGGGGGCCGGCCCAGATCTTTTGGAGACACCTGTCTAGAACAGGTGAACCACCGGAGTATAATAGGTTCCATGTTACCTAAAGAGGATGACTCTGTCGTCCCGAGTGGCAGTTACTGCTAAAGAGAGACATGGAATCAAGCTAAATGCCCTGCTCCTGCAACAATGCTAATTTGGAGCAGAGATCAAGGATACCAGGACTTCTAAAGTTGCTTTCAGGGGAGTCATGGAATTATTAACTTCCTGACACCTGCTTTTTGAAGCACTGAAAGACTTTAAGAAGTCAAAAACTAAAAAAAAATATAGAAAAAATAAAAAAAAAAAAAAGAGAGAAAAGAGAAAAAACAAAAAAAAATGGTTAAAAAAAAAAGGGGTGGGGGGGAAGGATACTTGTCTGTTCAGCTAGCTTTTGAAGAGCAATATTCTTGTTCTCCAACAGTCTGCTTTCTACCTACCTGTGGCACATGCACAAGCTACATGGACAACTCATTTATGGACATTCAGCACTGAGAAGAAGGAGTACCATTCTTGTGGACTGATGAAAGAAGGACTGGTTGATTCTTTGCCTATGTGTGTAATTGTATTGTATTATTGATATTGCCATGTCGCTAGTGCAAGGGCCCTGTATTAGCTGATGTTGGCATTTTCTATAATACAAAAGAGGGGGAATTGTTGGGGAGCCCAGCTGGTTCTGGGCTCTCAGTAAACTGAGACATTGAAGATGGAACTTTTTACACCTGGCAGAGGGTTAACCACGGACAGTAGGACTGTGACACAGTGGGTTTCCTGTGAGGAATGTCAGCCTATTGTGTTAGGACATGTGGCTGTATGTCCAATCATGAGTTGTTATGACAGTGGTAAACCAATGCTGTGTGTACATGTGTCACCCCAGAACTGTATAAAGGTAGCTGTACTGTTGCAATAAAAAAGCTGCTGGTATCCTGAAACCCATGTCGCCTCCCCGCCTCGACCGCGACAGGGTTTTTTTTCCTAACTGGAACTTTATTGGTTTGGTGTCCGAAGCCACGTGCTGAAATGGCCCGTCTGGGTCCGCTGATGGTATAAGAACCAAGAGTCCTCTCAGACAAAAGGCTCTAGCGCAGGAAGCTGCATCTGTGCATGTAGTACCAAGGGTAGCTCACCCACTGCACAGCAGACTTGGAGTCTAAAGGCTTTTTTTCCCCACTGGAACTTCATTGGTTTGTTATCTGACTGTCAGAGCTGAAATATCCCGTCTGGGTCAGCTGATGGTCTAAGAACGAAGAGTCCTCCCAGACAAAAGGTGTCAACGCAGGAAGCCCCATGTGTGCATGGAGTGCCAAGGGTTACTCTCCCAATACAAAGCAGAGATGGAGGCTAAGGGCTTTTTTTCCTGATTGGAACTTCATTGGTTTCGTGTCCGAAGCACAGCGCTGAAATGTTCCGTGTGGGTCCATAGAAGGACTAAGAACGAAGACTCCTTCAAGACAAAAGGGACCAGAGTAAGAAACTGCATCTGTCCTTGGAAATCCAACAGTGGCTAACCCATTTCACAGGAGAGTTGGAGGCTAAGGGCTTTATTTCCTGGCTGGAACTTCATTGGTTTGGTGTCCGAAGCCTCGCACTGAAATTGTCCGTCTTGGTCACCAGAAGGATTAAGAACGAACATTCCTCCTAGACAAATGGTGCCAACACAGGAAACTCCATGTGTACATGGAGTGCCCAGGATGACTCACTGATTGCACAGCGCAGTTGGAGGCCAAGAGCATTTTTTCCTGGCTGGAACTTCATTGGTTTGGTGTTTGAAGCCATGCACTGAAATGGCCCGTCTGAGTCCGCTGATGGTATAAGAACCATGATTCCTCCCAGACAAAAGGCATGAGCGCAGAAAGCTGCATATGTGCATGGAGTACCAAGGGTGGCTCACCCATTGCACAGAAGACTTGGAGGCTAAAGGCTTTTTTTCCCCACTAGAACTTCATTGGTTTGGTGTCTGACAGCCCGACCTGAAATATCCTGTCTGGTTCCGCTGATGGTCTAAGAACGAAGATTCCTCCCAGACAAAAGGTGCCAGCGCACGAAGCTCTATGTATCCATGGAGTATCAAGGGTGACTCACCCATTGCACAGCAGAGTTGGAAACTAAGGGCTTTTTTTCCTGGCTGGAACTTCATTGGTTTGGTGTCCGAAGCACAGCACTGAAATGGCCCGTCTCGGTTCACTTATGGTCTAAGTACGAAGATTCCTCCAAGACAAAAGGTGCCAGGGCAGGAAACTGCATGTGTGCATGGAGTGCCAAGGGTGGCTCAGCCATTGCACAGCAGAGTTGGAAGCAAAGGGCTTTTTTTCCTGGCTGGAACTTCATTGGTTTGGTGTCCGAAGGTCCGCGCTGAAATGATCCGTCTGGGTCCCCCGAAGGACTAAGAACAAAGATTCCTCCCAGACAAAAGGTGCCAGCGCAGGAAGCTGCTTCTGTGCTTGGAGTTCCAATGGTGGCTCACCCATTTCACAGCAGAGTTGGAGGCAAAGGACTTTTTTTCCTGCCTGGAACTTCATTGGTTTGGTGCCTTAAGCCCCGTGCTGAAATGACCTTACTTGGTCCCCAGATGGACTACCAACGAAGATTCCACCCAGACGAAAGTTTTCAGGGCAGAAAGCTCTATGTGTGCATGGAGTGCCAAGGGTGGATCACCCATTACACAGGAGAGTTGAAGTCTAAGGGCTTTTTTTCCTGCCTAGAACTTCATTGGTTTGGTGTCTGAAGCCCTGCGCTCTGATGGCCCATCTGGGTCCCAAGCTGAATAAGAAGAAAAATTCCTCCCAGACTGAAGGTGCTAGCAAAGGAAGCTCCATGTGTACATGGACTGCCAAGGGTGACTCACACACTGCACACCGAATTTAAGGCTAAGGGCTTTTTTTCCTGACTGGAACTCCATTGGTTTTGTGTCTGAAGCTGAAACAGGAAGGGTTAATCGAAAACACTTACTCCCCTGTATTTCGTAAGCTGTGCTTTTAAAAGAAGGTGATGTGCTGTACTAAGTGCATTGGACCTTAAAGGAACCACAACAAACACTAGACAAAGAACTCAACATACATAAATCTCATCCAGAGGAGCCAAGGTAGACATTTGAATAGGTAAAGTAGGCCTACAACCAAGGGTTTCTTGAAGCTTGAACGATTAGAACATGAGAACAATGGAAAGAACAGAAGGTCACATATGTCACCCGAGGAAGATGAGTAAAATGCAGACCCCAGGATGAAGGCAGGTAGGAACTCCCACCATACTATTCCTCAAAATAGAGACCACGCCTAAATCTCCGCCACGACTCCACCTGCTATGAATACTGTAATCTAATGATGCAATACTATGATTATGCATATGATTATGTTGTAATCATGATTAGAAACTGTATAAGTTGCTTGTTTTTACTGAACCACTTCGGAGCATTTTTGTCCAGCATGAGCTGGAAGCTACCCCGACGTCGCAAGTAAATACCTGCTGTTTATGGCACAAAATTCTGCCTTAAGCAGTTTTCTTTTAATCTGCCTTTTTGGGCATCAAAGCCCCAAGCTGAAATGGCCCGACTGAGTCCAGAGATGGACTCAGAACGAAGATTGATCCCAGAGAAAAGGTGTTAGCGCAGGAAGTTCCTTGTGTGCATGGAGTGCCAAGGGTGGCTCACCCATTGCACAGGGCAGTTGAAGGCTATGGGTTTTTTTTCCTGGCTGGAATTTCATTGGTTTGGTGTCCGATGCCCCGCGCCGAAATGGCCCGTCTGGGTCCCCACATGGACTAAGAACGAAGATTCCTCCCAGACAAAAGGTGTCAGCTCAGGAAGCTAATTGCGTGCATGGAGTAGTAAGGGTGACTCACCCATTGCACATGGTAGTGTGACGCTAAGGCCTTTTTTTCCTGCCTGGAACTTCATTGGTTTGGTGTCCGAAGCCCCGCGCTGAAATGGCCCATCTGGGTCCTCAGATTGACTAAAAAGGAAGATTCCTCCCAGACAAAAAGTGTCAGCGCAGGAAGCTCCAGGTGTGCATGGAGTGCTAAGGGTGGCTCACCGACTGCACAGGACAGTTGGATGGTAAGGACTTTTTTTCCTGGATGGAACATCATTGGTTTGGTGTCCAAAACCCCGCCCTGAAATGGCACGTCTGGGTCCCCAGATGGAATAACAACGAAGACTCCTCCCAGACAAAAGGTGCCTGCGCAGGGAGTTCCAGTGTGCATGGAGTGTCAAGGGTGGCTCACCCATTACACTGGGGAGTTGGAGGGTAAGGGCTTTTTTTCCTGGCTGGAACTTCATTGGTTTGGTGTCTGAAGCCCCGAGCTCTAATGGCCTGTCTGGGTCCCCAGATGGACTAAGAACCAAGATTCCACCCAGACTAAAGGTGTTAGCTAAGGAAACTCCATGTGTACATGGACTGCCAAGGGTGGCTCACACACTTCACAGCAGAGTTTAAGGCTAAGGGCTTTTTTTCCTGACTGGAACTCCATTGGTTTTGTGTCTGAAGCCCCACGCTGAAATGGCCCGACTAAGTCCAGAGACAGACTAATAACGAAGATTCCTCCCATACAAAAGGTGCCAGCGCAGGAAGCTCCATGTGTGCATAGAGTGCCAAGGGTGGCTCACCCATTGCACAGCAGAGTTGAAGGCTATGGTTTTTTTTTCCTGACTGGAACTTCATTGGTTTGGTGTCCAACGCCCCGTGGGGAAAGACCCGTCTGGGTCCCAAGATGGATTAAGAACGAAGATTCCACCCAGAAAAAAGGTGCCAGCGCAGGAAGCTCCAAGTGTACATGGACTGCCAAGGGTGCCTCACCCATTGCACAGGGCAGTGTGATGCTAAGGGCTTTTTTTCCTGGCAGGAACTTCATTCGTTTGGTGTCTGAAGCCCCGAGCTGAAATGGCTTTTCTGGGTCCTCAGATGGATTAAGAACAAAGATTCCACCCAGACAAAAGGTGCCAGGGCAGAAAGCTCCATGTGTGCATGGAGTGCCAGGGGTGACTCACGCATTGGAAAGCAGAGTTTGAGATTAAGGGCTTTTTTTCCTTCCTGGAACTTCATTGGTTTGGTGTCTGAAGCTTCATGCTGAAATGGCCTTACTTGGTCCCCACGTGGACTAACAAAAAAGATTTCTCCCAGACAAATGTTCCCAGGTCAAAAGAACTCTATGTATGCATGGAGTGGTAAGGGTGACTCACCCATTGCACAGGAGAGTTTGAGGCTAAGGGTTTTTTGTCTTGCCTGGAACTTCATTGGTTTGGTGTCCAAAACCACACGCTGAAATGGCCCATCTGGGTCCTCACATTGGCTAAAAGGAAGATTCCTCCCAGACAAAAAGTGTCAGCGCAGGAAGCTCCAGGTGTGCATGGAGTGCTAAGGGTACCTAACTGACTACACAGGACAGTTGGATGGTAAGGGCTTTTTTTCCTGGATGGAAGTCATTGGTTTCGTGTCCAAAGCCCCACGCTGAAATGGCCTGTCTGGGTCCCCAGATGGACCAACAATGAAGATTCCACCCAGACAAAAGGTTTCAGGGCAGAAAGCTCCATGTGTGCATGGAGTGCCAAGGGTGGCTCACCCATTACAAAGCAGAGTTGGAGCCTAAGGGCTTTCTTTCCTGGCTGGAACTTCATTGGTTTGGTGTCTGAAGCCCCACGCTGAAATGACCCGATTCAGTCCAGAGATGGACTCAGAACGAAGATTGATCCCAGTGAAAAGGTGTTAGCACAGGAAGTTTCTTGCGTGCATGTAGTTCCAAGGGTGGTTCACTCATTGCACAGGGCAGTGTGACCCTAAGGGCTTTTTTTCTGGTAGGAACTTTATTGGTTTGGTGTCTGAAGCCCCAAGCTGAAATGGCTTTTCTGGGTCCTCAGATAGATTAAGAACAAAGATTCCACCCAGACAAGAGGTGCCAGGGCAGAAAGCTCCATGTGTGCATGGAGTGCCGTGGGTGACTCACCT